TACCGGGATACTGGAATACTGGGATACCGGGATACCGAGATATCGGGATACTGGGATACTGGAATACCGGAATACCAGGATACTGGGGTACTGGAATACTGGGATACCAGGATACTGGAATACCGGGATATCAGGATACTGGAATACTGAGATATCAGGATACTGGAATACTGAGATATCGGGATACTGGAATACCGGGATACCAGGATACCGGGATACTGGGATACTGGAATACCGGGATACCGGGATACTGGAATACTGGGATACCGGGGTACTGGAATACCGGGATACTGGAATACCGGGATACTGGAATACCGGGATACTGGGATACCTTGATGTCGCGGTACACCACGTCCCGGGAGTGCAGATATTCCAGCGCCGAGACGATTTCGGCGCCGTAGAAACGGGCACGGTCCTCGGTGAAGACGCGTTCCCTCGAGAGGTGGAAAAACAGCTGGAAAAAGGAAAAAAAAACGGGAAAACCACCGAGTGATTCCGGAAAAATCCGCGGAGAGAGCCGGGATGCGCGGCCGGAGCTCCTGGAACCGGGATCATCCCGCGAAACGGCGGCGGCCGGGGGGGGGGGGGCCACGCCCTTCCCTTTTTCTTCCTCCCGGCACGTGTGCCGAGGGGAAATTGCGGGATAAATGATGGAATTTTGGGATCAAACGCCGACATTCCCAAAATTCCCTCCCGACGGAGGCCGGGAGCTCCCACCTCTCCGCCGTTGGCGTATTCCATGACGAAGCAGAGGCGGTCGTTGGTCTGGAAGGCGTATTTCAGCGCCTGCGGAAAAGTGGGAAAAAAAAAATAATAAAAATCGGGATTTTGGCAGAGCTGCGGCGCGATTCCGGCACGATTCCGGCGCGATTCCGGCAATTCCGGCGCCACTTACGGTGAGGAAGGGGTGCCGGGTGTTCTGCAGCACGCGGCTCTCCGTCACCGTGTGCGCCACCTCGTCCTGCCCAGGGAGGAGACACGGAGCCGCCGTTATTCCCGGGAAATGTGCCCGGAATTCCCGGAAAATGTGCCCGGAATTCCCGGGGAAAAAGGAAGGAAAAAAAAAAAATCAGGGATGGGGGGGCCGGAGGTGGTTTCGGCGCTTGGCCGGAGGAGGCTGTGGCTGCGCCGCCGTCCTCCGAGATCCCGGTATTTCCCGGAATTTCCCAGAATTTCCCAGAACTTCCTGGTATTTCCCAAAATTTCATGGATTTTCCTGGAATTTCCTGGTATTTCGCAGAATTTCTAGAATTCCTTGGCATTTCCCAGATTTTCCCGGTATTTCCCAGATTTTCCCAGAATTTCCCGGATTTTCCCAGAATTTCCTGGAATTTCCCAGAATTCCCCGGATTTTCCTGGTATTTCCCAGAATTCCCTGGATTTTCCTGGTATTTCCCAGAACTTCCCAGCATTTCCCAGAATTTCCCAGTATTTCCCGGTATTTCCCAGATTTTCCTGGTATTTCCCAGAATTCCCCAGATTTTCCTGGTATTTCCTAGTATTTCCTGGAATTTCCCAGAATTTCCTGGAATTTCTCCCAATTCCCCAGATTTTACTGGAATTTCCCAGAATTTCCTGGTATTTCCCAGAACTTCCCAGCATTTCCCAGAATTTCCTGGTATTTCCCAAATTTTCCTGGAATTTCCCAGAATTCCCCGGGTTTTCCTGGAATTTCCTGGTATTTCCCAGAATTCCCCGGTATTTCCTGGAATTTCCCAGAATTTCACAGCACTTCCCAGAATTTCCTGTAATTTCCCAGAATTCCCCAGATTTTCCTGGAATTTCCCAGAATTTCCTGGAATTTCCTAGCTATTTCCCGGAATTTCCTGTAATTTCCTAGATTTTCCTGGTATTTCCCAGAATTTTCCTGAATTTCCTAGTATTTCCCCAAATTTCCTGAAACTTCCCAGAATTTCCTGGATTTTCTAGAATTTCCCGGCATTTCCCGGCGTTCGGAGCGCGCCAGGAGCCGACCGCCGCTCGGCAGCTTCCGATCCCGCCCTTCCCGGGGGGGCTCCGATCGGATCCACCCCGGATCTCCCAGCTTTGGACCCCCCAGCTCCCAGTTTCCCCAGTTTCCCCACTTCCCAGGTTTCCTGGTTTTCCCAGTTCCCCGGCTTCCCTGTTTTCCCAGTTCCCCAGTATTCCCAGTTTCCCCTTATTTCCCGATTTCCCCAGTCTCCCTGTTTTTCCTGGTTTCCCCGGTTTCCCAGTTTCTCCATTTTTCCCTGTTTTCCCAGTTCCCTGGTTTTCCCAGTTTTCCCAATTTCCCCTTTTTTTCCCCGATTTCCCTGGTTTCCCTGGTTTCCCAGTTTCCCCATTTTTCCTGGTTTCCCTGGTTTTCCAAGTTTTCTCAGTTTTCCCTTTTTTTCCGGTTTCCCCGTTTTCCCAGTTCCCCGAGTTTCCCCGGTTTTCCTGAGTTTCCCCAGTTCCCTGGCTCCCCAGTTTCCCTGTTTTTCCCAGTTTCCCCGTTTTCCCAGTTCCCCTGTTTCTCCAGTTTCCCGAGTTTCCCCGGTTTCCCGTTTCCCTGGTTTCCCCAGTTACCCTGGTTTTCCCAGTTTCCCTGGTTTCTCAAGTTTCCCCAGTTTCCCTGGTTTCCCCAGTTTTCCCAGTTTCCCTGTTTTTCCCAGTTTCCCCGTTTTCCCAGTTCCCCTGTTTCTCCAGTTTCCCGAGTTTCCCTGGTTTCCCGTTTCCTCAGTTTCCCTAGTTTCCCCGGTTTCCCCAGTTTCCCCGGTTTCCCCAGTTTCCCCAGTTTCCCTGGTTTCTTGAGTTTCCCCAGTTTCCCAGCTCCCCAGTTTCCCTGGTTTCCCCAGTTTCCCTGGTTTTCCCAGTTTCCCTGGTTTCCCCGTTTTCCCAGTTCCCCTGTTTCCCCAGTTTCCCCGGTTTCCCCAGTTTCCCCAGTTTTCCCAGTTTCCCCGGTCTCCCCGGTTTCCCAGTTTCCCCAGTTTTCCCAGTTTCCCCAGTTTCCCCAGTGGCCCCAGTCTCCCCGGTTTCCCCAACCCAGTTTCCCCGGTTTCCCCAGTTTCCCCGGTTTCCCCAGTTTCCCTGGTTTCCCCGGTTTCCCCGTCCCTCCCAGTTTCCCCAGTGGCCCCAGTGCGCGCCTTGGCGATGACGACGTCCTTGCGCAGGACCTTCATGGCGTAGTAGCGCCCGGCCGCCCGCTCGCGCACCAGCAGCACTTTGCCGAAGGTGCCCTTGCCCAGCAGCTTCAGGTAGTCGAAGTCGCTCATGGTCTGCGGGGCAGCGCGACCAGTCCTCCCAGTGCTCCCAGTCAGCCCCGTCCGGGGCCCCCGGGCTCACACAGACACCCCCAGTGCTCCCAGTCAGTCCCATCTGGG